ACACACACACACACACACACACACACACACACACACACACTATATGATAAAAGTGGGCAAGTCAAATAGATGTGAAAATAATGGATTGTTCAAGATATGGTGCTAGGATAAGTATAGAAAATAATAAATTTAGAACTCAGGCTGCTACAATAAAAATACCATATATTAGACTTAAAAGTACAAATCAAAACAAATTCTGTATGTATTAGGGTCATCTAAAGAACCTCACCAAAATTCAGATACCAGGAACCCATTCTAGAAATTCCATTTCAGTAAGCCTGAAGTTGAATAACAGAATCTGAAATTTTAATAAAAATCTCTACACAATTTTGTTTCAGGTGTTCCAAGAAGACATATACAAAAAATAATGGCATAGAAAAATAAGAAATATTCCAATAATGTAACTAGTTATGTATCCAGACGGATATGCCTAAAAAAACTAAAAATGTGTGGAAAAATGTAAAACCATCTTCCTAAAAGCATCAAAGAGAAGCACAATAGGGTTTATCAAATTAAAATCTAGGGAAAAAAGAACAGTGAATTGACCAATGAAACAACTTTTGCCCTGAGAGTATTTGCCAAACATGGAGAATTTCGAATTCTGTTTTATAGATAACTTCTTTAGAGTAAGGGTATACCCCACAATACCACTCCCAAGAAATTGGAAGAAAAGATATCTTGGTTCTCAGCAGAGAAACACAGGAAAAAAGATTCTTGAAAAATTATAATCACAAACTGGTCTTCACACAGATTTGCAATCCAGATTAGCATTATCAGGCCCACTGACCTCAAACTGAGAAATTGTTTAGAGTGGACTCTGACTGCTTCAACCTCCTAGAGGCTAGGCAGAAACACATACAAATTCTATGTAGAAGAACATATCTTCCTAGTAAACTTCAAAGATTTCAGTACATCATTTTTGAAAGGGAAATGAGCTGTCCCACTCAAAAATCATTAAGCATAAGAGGAAACAAAATACAGTAAGCAAAAACCAAAACTTGACAGCAGAAACTGCTCAGCAAAGATTTTAGATATTAGAATTATTGGACAGAAAATACCTAATAACTAGTTTTACAATTATGAAAGGCATTTTTTAAAACTTGGAAATAACAAAGGGACCTGGAAATTGTTTTTTAAAATGACGTAGCTAAATTGAAACAAACTATAAATTCTATAAGTAAAACCTGTAATAAGTGAAATTCAAACCTCAATGGATGGGCTTCACAACAGACCAGATACAGTTGAAGAGATACATGGTGAAGTTAAAAGACTTGGTAAAGTTCAAAAGAAATTACATACAATGTAGCATAGGGATAAAAATATGGAAAATGTGAAATAATTGTTAAGAGACATGGAAGAAAGAGTGAGGAAGTATAATATACACGTAATTGGGGTTCTAGAAGAGTTGAGAGAGGGGACGAGGTAGAGGCAATAGTTAAGGAGACAATGCCTAAGATTTTTCATGAAAAAATTAAAGATATGTGTGATTTAAGACATCGAACAGATCCAATGGAAGAAATAT